CAAAACCCAGTAAGGCTTATGAGCATTCAACTCATAGTTGGGTTTTTTTTCTTTTTTTTTTTCCTCCCTGTCGTGCTAGTAACCATCCAGCTTTGGAAGGACTGTGCAGGTGCTCTTTCAGGGCTAGGACTTTGCTGCTGCAGCGTGTGTGCATCCCTGGGGCAGGGCTTCCCTTGTGTCCCCACACTCCCCCATGGTTTCCTTTTCTTCCTTCTCAGAATCCTTCCTTTTAAATGCATATACTGTCAGGCCACCTGTCAGATAAAGTCCTCTCTGCCAGACTCTTTTGATGGTGATATAATTTTGAAACCCTGTTCTCCTTTCACAGTGTGGTGTCTTGCCCTGTCCTCTCTTTTCATGTCCCTAACCTGCAGGACAGGTACCTCCATCACCAACCCCAGACCTCTCCAGGTGGACAGGGATTTGTCGTTCCCACTTGCTGCTGCCTGCCAATTCCTGGACTCTGTTTTGAAGTCTTTTCTCTTCCTTTCAGTTCTGAATGCCACTTATTTCACATGCTCTAAGAAGTTTATCTTAAATACCTTGCAGTCAGTTTTCAGTCTGAAATGAGTTTTGACAGTATTCTGATAGGTGCCTGTCGAGATTTTTTCAACTGGAAAAAATGTATTTAAAAAAAAATTAAATCCAGTCATTTCTTGCAGCATTTAAGAAATCCTAAGCCTTTAAGATTATGCCTAATGTTTGCCGAGCATGAACGCTTCTGGTGAAAAACCCTAACAGGCTTTGGGATGCGTTTTGCTAAGCTGAGAACATCCAGTGCTGCCTTTTATATGGCATGTGGGTGCTGCTCAGGCCTTGAGATCCAGGAGACCAGGGACATCTAACGCACATGGAGGGAGAACGTGTGCCACCTTTGGGGCGATAATTCTGCTTTCTCAAACAGGGCTCCAAAAAGGGTGCACTTAGAGTGGGACACTGGAGGCAGAGTGGTTCAAACTGCTTCACATTGTGCTTCTTGATAATGTCTCCTTCACCTTGGCTTACTACAGGTTTTAGAAGATCCAGCCCATGTGCTTGTGGCTCAGGGGAGCAAGGGGTGTATTACCACTTTTGCCACTCTCTTGGCGAGGCTCATGGTGTTAGGCTCAGGCTGTGTTCAGGGTTCAAACCCTAAACTGAATGAAATGGCTCAAACAGCATCTGTTATCAGGCATGAGCTGGAAACTGAAGCCCATCCACTCTTTAAAACTGTAAGAGTGAGCAGATGCTGTTCGTTGTGACCCCCAGCCTGAAGGCTGGAAAGTTGTACGGGAGTCCACTGTGCTTCTCTAGTTCTGTAGCCCCTTGACACAGAGGCTGTTTCCAGACAGGCGTGATTTTGCTCTTGTGACTTTTGTCACAAGGTACCAGTTTGCGTAGTTCTGGCTTGTTTTCACAAGCTCTGCATGTCTTGGGGAAGCTGTGGAGTGGGGAAACCTGCAGTGCCCTTGAACACGCTCTCAGATTCCAGCCTGCTTTCAAATACTTATTTGTTTGCAATTTTTATTTCAAGCAATTACTTCGCCTTTGTTAGGTGGCTGATAAGGCAGGTTGTGGGAGAGGAGCCTGGGACAGGCTCTCAGTTAATGGAGCCTTGCATGGTTGCTGTGAAATCAGGAGGACTTTTGCTTATTTTGCCAACTGAAACTCTGGGTTTGTGAGTTTCACTCAATTCTTTTACATAAAGAAAAATAAATAAATTGAAACGTACTGCGAGGGCCCCAGCTGTATTGTACCAGCATTGCTGGTAGCAAAGGCTGAAGATGTCAAAATTTGTAGTAGTTTAAACAATGGAATGGGAGAAGGCTGGAGTCCAAGTCAAGCCTAGTGTGAACAAAAACTTTAAGCAGATGATTTATTTTATTTTTAGCTGGCCAGCTAAGGACAGCTATCTCACTAGCTTGTGTTTCTAAAATGGCCCTTTTCTTGTCTACGTCCAGTCTTAGGTGCTCGTGTTGCCATCTGAAGTTGCCTGGTGTCTCCTCCTTTTGGAGTGGGCATGCTGCCTTGAAGAAGTGAGAAAAGGCTTTGTGTTTGGCCCATTGCTTTGTAACTTCTCCAAACCTTTGTAAGGGGCAACCCCCCATTATTAAGTAGATACGTTCTTAAAAAATTAAGACCTTTTCTGGTCCTTACCTGAGCGTGTTCATCATGTGGGAGTCATTGCTGTGTAAGAGCATTTGGGAGCAAGAAGGAGGCTTCCTCCCCATTTGTGTTATCCACCTCTGGAAGCTGATCCTGGGGTAATTTCCTCCATTCCTGGAGGAATTGGTGGGCTGGTGTGGGTTTGACCCATTTCCATGTAGCTGTACCGAACTGTCAACTGAGATATTAAATCAAACTAATTAAAATGTGTGTGCCTTTGTGAGGCACAAGTTTGTTGTGGTGAGGGAGCGCTAGCAAAACGTTTGAGCTACAAAATTCAGATCTGGATGCAAAGTTGGCATAACTTGGAGGTATCTTCACTGGTAGCAGCTGCTTTTTCACACATATGCACCCCTAGAAACTATCAAAGAGGTGTTGAAAAAAACGAGCCTGGAAATGACCAGAAAAAGAGTTTTTCATATTTTTCTATGGATCCTTTGACTTTATATTCTCTTGCACCCCTTAATATTTGTCTTGTTTCAGAAATGACTGTGACTTCATATATGTATTTTAGAGAAGCTGGAACACTCAAGAATGAAAGTTTTATACTAGATACTTACTTGTAGTCATTCTACTTGTAAAAGAGGCATATAGCAAGAAACAGAGAGACAGTTAAGAGATGAGCAATTGGGAGACCTGGCAGCCTGAAAAATTTCTGCCAAAAGAGAAGTTGGGATGTCAATGGTCTTGCCCCTACAGACCAGCATGACCCACCTGGGGAGGTGAAGTCGGCCACTTTTGCTGGCTCTGACTCATAACCATCTGTGATGGGGAACAGCATCCTGTTTGCAGTGATAAACGAAATACTTCTTTGCAAAATATCATTAAGCCTGAGGAACTCATCAGCAAGGTATCACTAAAGCCAAGGGCTTCACAGGATTCCAGAGGGGTGGTAATAGGGAAGGTGTCTGGTTTGGAAAAAACTAGTGATACTGGAAGGGATGCAGCCTCCTGTTTGGAGCATAAGACAGGCTCTAATTAAACAGGTGTTAGGAGGTAACCTCAGAAGGTTCTCTTCATGGGGCTGCTGAAGCTTGTGTTGTCTTCTGACCACTCAGCCTGGGTTGTGGGGAGAGGGACGGTGCACTTTGTTGGGTCAGTAGCATGCCCAGAGGGAAAAGGACAGGTTCATGTGAGCCACTGCATCCTGATCTTCCCGTTTCAAGCTGCCCCATCCATAAAGTCTGTTCCTCCTGAAGGTTTCCCTCTTTGACCTGCCTGCTCAGGTGAACCTCTGCTTTTTCTTGGTTCTCTGCACCTTACTTCTCCTCCTGCACGTGTAAGGAACAGGAGAAGGAAGACAACTTGTATTCCACATAATTTTTAGCATCAGATAACTCCCAGTTGGCTCATCTCTCCCTTAAAGCATTAATGTAAGTTTTTAAAGTTCTGTTTGTCTGGCCTCCCTGCTCTGTTCTGAAGGGACAGCACTATTTCTGAAAATGCAATGACAAAAAAACCAGCAAGGAGCTGAGAGGAGAGGGTTGGAGTGACTGATGCTGAAGTTGAATTAAAATGTTCTCATCAGAAACCAAGATTTTAAGTTCTGTTGGTAGTTATTCAAGCTCACCCTTATGATGTGCCTTTACAGCTTCATGTAGCTACAAGCGAAAACTACCCCCCAAAGGGTGGGAGGAATAGGGTCTGGCCTTTTTATTGCAAAGCCAAAAGTTACATGGGAAGTGTAAGCGTTATTTTATAGCAGCTATATAAAGGCATGACTGTCAGCAGCTAATTTGCCTGAAGAATGTATATAATTAGTTTCTATAGTTTGCGTGTTTGAAGAATAGAGTTTTTAACCATACTGTTTAGTCATGCATCTTCACAGCGCAAACTGGCACATTGTTAAGGTCATATTTGCTTTTGTTGCATCCCCGAGTCTATCATGGAATTACCCTTTATTCTGCTGATACTGTTTCCGAATCTACAAGTGTCTCCTCCCAAACATATGTGCATAACGCAGCGTGTATGTGCACACAAGGAAAAGGAAGCAGATGACTTGTGTTCAGTATAATGGTTGTTTTGTGCTTGAACTGCTGCAGGCTCCCTGCTGAAAAGAGACTCACGCATCCATTCAATTCATGAACAAAGCTGCTGTCGTGAGGGTCTTGATCGTGCATTGACTCTTTGTGTAGGGCTTTGGTTAGGGAAAGATGTAATCTCCTCCCTGCTTCACAGCCTCTCTCCCTCTTTGCTTCCCTCACCCCCTCTTTGCTTCCCTCACCATAATCATTGCATGCTCATCAGTGCCTTCCTGACAAGTGGGATCTCAGCTGAGGTTCCCATCAGTGCAGAAGAGAGGAGAATGCATGGTGGTTGGTGGAGGAGTCCAGGTGGGTTATCACTGGGCATAAATTAGCAACGTATGTGCCTGAGCTGGCACTTAGCGAGGGTGGGTAGGGCAAGGATCGATGGAGTTGCTGTTGCAAAGGAGTGAGAGAAATGGTCAAGTTGTGTGGGACTTCTCTGGAAGTGGAAGATATTCCCGAAACCTGATAGCTTTGGTACAGCAACTTCACTTATGCTTTGCTCCAGTTTTAGAACCAATTCTTGCCTTCTCTTCTGATATGTGGCCTCAGAATGGCCTGTGATTTCAGTGCTGAGCTGTGTTTTTCATGTCATGCTCTGTACTATTAGACTGTCCAGACGGGAGCCTTCTGTATCCTTGTGGCCTTTTATTGTTCAAGATGCTCTGGAAACCCGTAGTGATTTACAGAGTGGAGATTTGACTAACTTTTATTTTGATCTATAATTCCCCTATGAAGTATCTCTGCTTTTTTATTTTTTTCATTGAGAGTTTTTTACTTACTACTCACAGCAGATTTTAAACCTTGTTTTCCCCATTCTGCTTTCAGATTCCATAGGTGGGTCATTTTCAACTTCCTCCCACCGATGCCACCACAAGCAGAAGCACTGTCTCCCCATCCCACAGTGTGGAGCTCTGTCCATCAGCCCTCTGCTTTTCCATCCCCACACGAAGGGATCCCAGATCATCATGGACACGACACAGAAGGCAGTGAAGCGCCAGGCTAGCTTCTGCAACGCCATTACCTTCAGCAACAGGCCCATCATTATTTATGAACAAGTCAGGCTTAAGGTGAGTAAATGATCCTGACCCTCATTGCCATGGGAGCTGCTGTGAATGAATGTTGGGGCGTTGAAGATCTTTAGCCCTTCCTTGAAAAGCACAGGAGTCAGATCTTGGCCTTAAAGATCTGCAGTATTTGTTGGTACTTCTGCTTTTGTCATCGTGGTTCTTGGAGCCATTGTGTAGAAGTGAGGAAGAAAAGGGAAATCCACTCTTCAAAAGAGCTTAGATGGATGTTAGGTGAGGAACAACAGATTAAGTTGAGATTGCTTGAAAAATAGCAAGAAAAAAAAGGATTGTGTTGGTCAGCCTGAAAAGCAGCAGTCTCAGTGTCTCTCCAGCCATTGTGTCCTTTAGACTTTGCGGGCAGGCTGAGAGGAGGGTCAGGAATTGGTTAACGTGTTCAGTTCCACGCCAAGCCCTTTTCTTCCAGCAAACAAGGGAGCAACGAGGGCTGGTCTCATGGAGGTGGGAGTCCAGCTCTCCACAGCCAACAGGTGAGAGGGGAAAACGTAAGCAAAAAGGACCTGGAAGAGAAGGTGCTGGCTCCTGTGCTTGGCCGGGAAGATAAAAGGGTTTTGCTGAAAGGATGAAAGGAGCAGTCAGTGCGGTCACAGTTGCCATCTAAGAAAAGGATCTTTCTGAAGGTCTGCTGACTGCTTTGTTGAATCAGTCACCTGATAGCGTTAAGGTCAGAGGAGAGAACATTGCAGGCAGCACATTTTTCTCGCCGGCAGAGGCTGATTTCACTTCCTTTATATCTGTGGTAGCCAAGAAGATGGGGTTGGTACCCCTCGTGCTGCAGCTGGCGTGGGAGGATCAGCCTCCATGTGCCCTGGGAGCTGCTTCCCGATGAAGAAATCCATCAGTCCCCTTAGGACCTGAAGCACTTTCTAGGCTCTCAGCACCCTGATGGAGCTTGGGGCCCCTTGCATTTCATCCACGGATATTTTCCCAATCTTTATGCCCTCTAGTTTGTGGGACTCCATTTTTCTGTTCTTAGCTGATTCTGCGCATTTCGTTGGCACAAAGTAGGTCATCATCTTTGGCAGATCTTAGTTCATGGCTCACACGAAAGAGCCGCCTGCAAATCCTTCATTTATGCAGGAGGATTTTTCCAGGAGGTTTATCTGCATATAGCTGATGAGTCTGAATGATCCTGCTGTTGCCCATTGCTGGAGGTCCCAGGGTGCTGGGACCTGCAGCAGCGTATCAGCCTTCCCTCACAGCCAGCAAAGGAGCAAGAAATGAGGAATATGCCTCCTTTTTAAAATATAGGGAGACTTCAGCGATTTCAGGCTAAGGCCCGTAGGGAGAAAATCCCTCCTACGGATTTGTTATGTTTCCCGTGGAGCTCTTACTGCTTCCATTAAGAATAGAAACCCAGCAGGACTCCCTCATGTTGCCTAACGGGATTTTTTTCCGCGTTGGCCAGCAGTTTGGACGAGCAACTGCAAAAAATTATTTGGGAGGAGATGAAAGCAGCGTTTCATTTTTGAAAATGCCATCAAAGATGTGAGTGGGTTTAGTGGTTTAGGCAAAGGTTCTGGCTTATTCCTTCCTCCTTCTGAAACAATGTAGCTATCTCAGGAAATTCACACTTGTTTATCACTGTATATTTTAGGATTTTGGCTTGCATAACATATGTGAAGAATATGCATGCAAATGTTTCATTTCTGCACGAGGGATTTATGAGCAGAGCTCCTGCTGAGTCCAACGGGAAGGTCTCATGGGAATAATCCACAGGCTTCAGGACTCTAGGGATAGATGGAAATGTGAAAACAGCTTTGCTTTTCTGATAATTCCATCCTGCAATGGCCTTGGTTTTGTGTGTGCCTGCGGAAAATGGTGTCTTAAACCATACTGGCTAAAGGTTAGCCATGAGCTCAGGCATTCAGGTCCTGTAAAGTCTAAACTCCCTTTGAAAAGCTAGAAGAAAGAAGTCAGGAGATACCATTCTATTTCTTAGGTGTTGTATCTTGGGTTTTATTCTGAGATTTCTTTGCAGCTTTGGGAATGCGATTGGGCAGCCAGAACTGTGGGGGGTTTGGGAAAATTTTCTCTTTAACTCTGAGATATGTGTCCCAGTAAAGTTTCTTCTGTGTAACTGAGGACACTGATGGGGAGCGGGGTGAGTTCCTCAAAGGTGACACAAGAGCAGGAGCCTGAGTCTGTGGAAGCAGCCATGGCTTAGCAGTTTGGATGCAGATTGTATCTTTTCCTCCCCTTCTGATACCCAGTGGACCTCCCGAGATTTTCTGCTAGCAGTGGCTGCTGAAGAGAGAATTTGGTCCATCATTAACCATTGCCTTTTTTAGCAAAACTGTGTACCCTTTGTCCAGCTGTGTCTAATTCTTGGCAGGCTTTATACTCGATTTTAATTTGGATGTTAGTTTGCCTGTGGTCAGGCTGTATTGAGAACTGTTTATAGGTGCTGATTAATACATGGAACATGTGCAGCCTCGATTACCACATGAATATTTACTTCATGTGGCCTGTGATTGCTGTGAACTATTGGCAAGGGACTGTGAAAGAGTAAATTGTGCGAATAACAATGAGGCCATATTTATCTCAGACCCAAAAGCTTTTAGGGCTTGCAGTAACCTTGCTGCAATAAATAATCCAGGCTACTTCTTGGAGTGTGCATATATTCCCCGTTTTGGCACACACATGCCCCATCCACCCCATGCTTCCACTGGGGACATCCATGGTCCCATCCCATCCTGGCCAGACATATAGAACAGCAAATCTGCTTCAGTCCTTTCTGAAAGGGTCCATCCCAAAAGTCGGAGCTTCCCATGATTCCTGGGACTGAGGTCAAGTGTTTCATGTGAACAGTTTAGGTGCTTGGCTGGACTGAGTAGGGATAAAGAGCAGCACTTGCTCAACTGAGGAACTGTCTGTGGATAAGCTTTTTTTTTCTGAAGCTCTGAGTTATTTTCTCTAATACTTCAATTACAAAACAGAAATCTCTATGCTTTGAACACTGTCTTTGTTGTGAGACTGTTGTGCCCCCAAGGGCACACGTTCCAGATTTGCCTTGGAGAGGAACATGTGAAAGAAAAATGCAATTTTTACAAATGTAATAAGAAGAGAATTCGCAAGTCTAAAGAAAATGTCTTGGAGAATCCCTTGGTGAAATCCTGTGCTGTCGGATTCCCAAGTGGGACGTGAGGAGCTGCTGCCAGGCTTTTAAGAACAAAGTCCTGCAGTCCTGGACAGTTTGGTCATTGGCACTGCCGCTCCTCCAAGCCATTAGCACTTTGACAGAGGGAGAAATTACAGTAAGGGGGCAAGTTTTGTATGCCCTCTGATCCGTGGTACCTATTTGTGCTTCTGCCCTTGTCCTGTGGGTAAGAGTTTTCAGCTTGAGGCTGCCAAGGCTTTGATGGAAGAGGGCTATCTCAGGTGTGGTCATGGTTGTTGCAGGTTCAGTGCATGAACAGAAACACCGATTAGGTGTCAACTGGCGTGCAGGAACTGCTCTGGCCCCACGTCAGGACTGGATCCAGCATCCTTAGGTCTTTCATTTCATAGTCTGGATGCCGACAGGCTGAATCTCTTTGAGAGGAATGATTCCCATCAGGTTCATCCTCAAACAACAAAATGAGAGAAGAAGATTATTCAAGGGCATCATCTCCATCTGGGGATGGAGCCTGGAAGATTCCCTGCTTCCATGGGAAGAAAGACACCTTTTAACTGGATGGTGTTTTGAATGTGCTGCACATGCTTAGGACCTCCTGCCTGCTCCCCTCAGATCCTCTTCAGTCCAGGGCTCAGTTCACATGAGAAGAAGCTGATGACTCTGGAGGCATCTGTGATCCTTTGTCCTGCTGTCTCTCAGGTGCAGAAGGGTGGATATGACACATGCACCATCCCAAAAGCTATGGCAGATGTCACTCAGTGACCCCAGACACACTGAGTAAGGTGGGGTGTAGATGTGCACAACGTATCTTGAAGAACACCTCTCACAGCTGAAATAAATAGGTTTTCCCCAATCTTAAGACAACTTCTATCATTGCCTTCTAATTGTGTATTTAATATAGTTAAATTATTTAAATTGTGCTTTCCCACACACGAGTTCTGTGCTGCAAGGCTGTGATTTCATCCTATCTGACAAGCTAAACAGGGGTAAGACTGTCTTTTACTTGGCTGGGAAACCCAGAAAACCCCATGGGGGTGACTGTGATTCTGGAGCCAGTGCTTTCCCTCAGGTCATGAGAGACTCCATCATCTCAGCACCACGGGGGAAGAGCTCTGCTGCTGCAGGTACTGAGATAAAAGCTCTTATGGCCATTTTTTGGCACGTTTTGCTGAGCGTGATTCTTAGGCCAAAGGGAATTACCCTAGAAAAAGAAGTGAGTCATCATGCAGCTGTAATTACATTTCACCTCTTCGCATAGATTTAATTATTTTTTTTTATTTTTTTTAAAAATACGTGCCTTGTATCCTAAGTGTGCAGCATTGCAGCTGAAGAAGCTACAGCAGTGTTTGGTGGGTAAAATGTTTCCTAAATCTGCTGGGCTTCTCTGTGTGGTGGCCATTGGTGCTTGATGGCACAGGGCCTGTAGTGTGTAAGGAGATGTTCCAATGCCAAACGCTGTTATTGCTGCTGTTGTCTTTGCAGATCACTAAAAAGCAGTGTTGCTGGAGTGGGGCTCTTCGGCTTGGATTTACTTCCAAGGATCCATCGAGGATTAACCCTGACACTCTGCCGAAGTACGCCTGCCCCGACTTGGTTTCCCAAAGCGGCTTTTGGGCCAAGGCTTTGCCAGAAGAGTTCGCGAATGAGGGAAACATCATAGCCTTCTGGGTGGACAAGAAAGGACGGGTTTTCTATCGGGTGAACGACTCCGCCGCGATGCTCTTCTTCAGCGGGGTGAGGACGGCAGAGCCCCTCTGGGCTTTGATCGACGTCTACGGACTCACCCGCGGAGTGCAGCTCTTGGGTGAGTACCTGGGTGCGAGGGCAGGGATGATGCTGAGCCGTCCCTGGCCAAAGGCCAGCCTCAGGCTGCCTGTCCCCCTCGCCCTGCTGGGACGGGCACAGGGAAACGGCCATCGTTCCTCCCCACATCATCTCACAAGCTCAGCCTGCATCACTGGGAGCTTGAAACTTAACACATAGATATAACACAGGTGGGAGGTGGGGAACAACTACTATGGTATAAAGATAGAAACCACCTGTAAATAAGTGGATTTCTGCTCAGGAGGTGTTGCTCTGTCAGAGCATAGTCTGGAGCGTGGCATAAACCTTGTAAAACCTGCCTTTTATCTCATCTGCTGCTTTCCCCATGTCAAAGTGGGGAAATGCATTTTACATGTTATGGGTAAATCCTTCCTGGACGGCACTAGTATGACTTTCTGTGTGGTTTAGTGGGCAGATTTGAAACATAGGTACCTTCAGAATTACCTGGGAGAAGCTGTGGCTGGTTTTGCCAGGATAATGGTTTCATAGAGGAGTTTGATTCATCCTCTGGAGCTTGAAGGTTGCATATAGAGTTGGAGGATGAGGAGTGCTGAGTGCCTGTGTTTTCTGCCATTCTCAGTTGGGCATTTGTGAGGACTCAATCTATGCAGGCTGTCAAGGTTTGGGCTATTTGAGTTTATACGTCTAAGAAAAACTGAAAAGTTTTTCTTTCAGTCCTCTTCAAGGACTCAGCTCAAGGGGCAGCTTGGTTGCTGGGGGACCACAGGTGTCATCACGCAGCCTTAGAGGTGGCCTCCACATTGTCGCTGGGAGGCAAATTCACAGCACATCTCCATGTAACAGTAGTTTCACAGGTCTTGTTTTCACCGTGGAAAAGGTTAGATGATACCTGCTGAGTGACCTTCATGAGCTGAAGTTCCTTATGAAGATGGGATGATCTTGCTAGGCTGAGAGAGAGAGATCCTGGCTTTTCCCTATTGTGCAGCCGGGTAATCTCTGTTAAAATGACATCTTCGTGCTATATATAAAAATCCTTAATGAACCCTGTTTCTGACAGTTCTGTCTCCTTTCTGCACTGTTTGCTGTGTTAAAAAATGTGGTGGCAGGACTGCTCGTAGCAACCTACACGGCAGGGTGGAGGGATGTGGGTTCAGGAGGTGAAGAAATGGGACTGACCTCTTCATGCTGCAAAAACTAAAGGGCCCAAGATTGCACAAGGCAGAGGAATTAAATAATTTCTCAGCAGCTTTTTGCTTTCTTTAGAAGCAGAAAGATTTATCTTTTGTGGTGAATCAGCTTGAATCAGAGCCACTAGGCAACTGTTCGTAGGCCAAGGTGGTGATATTTGAATCGGGATATAGAATTTGGGCAAATGTCACGCCAAGCCTTCAGTTAGGAAGAGCTTACGAATGACTCCAAGTCTTCTGGCCGTTCTTGTGAGATTTGGCACCTCAGGACTCCTCCGCCTGATTAATGAGGGCCCATAACTCTGGATTATGTGTTTCCTTTCAAAACACCCGAGAAACCATTTCCTATCCATCATCCACCCCTGCATTGTCCTAGCATCTTCCACATCCCCTTTCCCAAGGAAAATGTGACTCTTGCCAGCCACTGACCTGCCTCTGGTCTAACAGGCTCCCAACTCTCGGGTGGGTATGAAGTCCCTGAATGAAGCAGGCAGCTTCTGAGTTTACACAGTTGGCGTGGAGCTCAGATATGTATTTATAGCTCATTCCAGCAGCCTTCAGCAGGCTTTAAGCCTAGCAACTGTGGCGAAACATCTCTGACTTGAGTCCTCTCTGTCTCCATTCATTATTATGCTTAAAAGTCAGAGCTGGGAAATCATGGGCTCTGCTGCCTCTGGATCCTATAGACGTACCCACTGCAACGCTCTGCACGCCTGTTTGAGTGTAGCAGACCACACATATAGCACAGCACAACTTGCCAAAACCTCCCGGGACTTGACAAATGAATTTTGTAGCTTAGCTACAAACATATGGTCGAACTGAGCCTGGTATGGCATGCAGGGCATGTGATGGAGGCTGGGGATGCTGGAGCGGTGTGTTGAACAGAAGAGCCTAGCGTTTTCAGATTCCAGTTCAGTAATTTATTCCCTGCCCAACCCCAAATGTGTTCCTTGTTCTTGAGCCTCGCTGTTTTCCTGAAGGCTGTAGGGCTGCAGGGTCACACTGCACCTCTGCCCTGCCTCCGTTTGCTTTTGTGTATATTTCACCCAAGAATCTGACCAAAAGCTTTACCATTTCTGGTGACTGTCTTTCTGTTTATTGCTGAATTATTCCCTCCCCACTCCCAATAATGTAACTTTACTTCCAAAATCAGGCTTGTCCAAAGGCAAGACGTGCAGCAGTAAGTCTTGTGTCACTGCAGGATCCCAGCTCTGCGGGGGAGTGCACAATGTGCATTTATATCCCCAAAATTCACAACTTCCAAAACTTCCTATTTTTCTTTCGCCTGTCTGCACTATGGTAGCAGTTACAGCCAAAATAAGGGACCCAGTAAAGCAGGGCAATGACTAAATCTAGTGACGCTGTTTCTGTCTTACAGATTTTAAAATAGAGAGACTTGAACAAAAGGGGCCCCAAGGCCTGGGAGAGTTAAATTATTTGCCAGAGGTTACACGTTAGTGTCACCCCATTCAGGGATGCCAGCAGCCTTGTTGCCCAGCTCAGTCCTGCCTCCCCTTCTGTTGGCGTCGCAGGCTGGCATCGCTAAATTGCACCTGGTTTGTACGTTAATTTTTCATTTCCTTCTGCTTACAGCTTTACCCATAGCATCAGCCTTACTGGTAATTACCCACATGTCATTACTGCCGTCAATGCACAGGTTTACGTGGCTGTCACAGATGTTCCTGGGTCTGACTGCCCTCGCTGTATGTTCAGAAGCAGCTTTAAGCTTCTTAAGCGGCTTCTTTGCCTGCTTGATTTTGTTCTGAGACAGGTAAAAAGGGCTTGCGTGGTCCACTGCATCTCAGCTGAGGGGAGGTCAGGACCTGATTCACGTGCTCGGTCGCAGGTGAGAGGCTGCTTCTGGCTCTCCTTGTCTCTACCCACTTTATAGAAATAGAAAGGCTTAAATTCACCCAGGAACCTGGTCTCCTCTGAGCACAGGGTCTCAGCTGGTTTCCTGCCACGATGTAAAGAGGGGAGGTTGTGGCGATGGAGTGCATGCATGTTGTGTGGTTTGGGGCATGAGTTTCAGCGTCGATGCGGGCTTATGTGACCTGTAAACATGCCCTTATACAGTGACTCTCCTGCCAACGTGCTCAACTTGCAGGCAGGATGGTTTACAGCTCCGCTTCCCTTTTAGGGCAGCCCGTTTTGCACAAGTGCACTTTTACATTCCAGGGTAATTTAAAGTAATATTTACTAGAAATGTGGCTTAGCCTTATGTTATCACTTCAACATACACACATGCTCATTCACACTTCAAAAAGAGTCCGAGAAAAATGGAATATAAGCAATCTGCTGCCTTACTGCTATAATAAAGCGTCAAAAAAGAGAAGGAAAGGACCAGCTGTTGAAATCCTGGGGTCTTCAGAGCCCTGGAGGAAGGATGGGCAGCTCATGGGAACCAAATGGTGGTGTCTCACATAAGCCTGCTTCTTTCAAGCACTTGGCTAGTGAGCCTGGCATAGACTAAGAAATGCTCATGTACACTTTCCCAGGGCTCACTGCAGAACAGTAAGGGTGGCAGCTTTCCTCAGTGATATGTAACTTAAAGCATAAGGTCCTTTTCCAGCATTTTCCTATACTTTTTGGTGAGGAATTCCAGGTTTACCTGTTGTACGGTGTCTTTTTGAAAATTGACTTTTGTTTTTGGCAGTGACGTTGTAGCACTGGATTGTAGAATGGTTAAGATTGGAAAGGACCCATGAAGATCATCTAGTCCTACCTTCTAGTGTCTTTTCTTTCAATGCACGACGCATGTTCTCACAGTATGGAAAAAATGAGACTGCAAAGAAATTATGATTTCAACATACCTCTCTACTCCCTCTGTGTTTCCAGCGGGGTAACATGAGGACCAGTCTGTTCATTTTCTTTCATCCCATTCTTTACTTGCATGCTCAGCAACCAAACCCTCTTACTGTTTATTACTCTGTTCACACTCTTCTCCAATCCATCTATATTTTCATTCGTGCGGTATTTCAAAGTGGTCTTGGTCTTTTACCAGCATGGACTTGGAAAACCAAAGATAATTTTATTTAGATTGGCACACTGAGAGGCACCTGTTGAAAGCAAAGCTTCACCACATCTTGTAAATATGAAACATGTTTAAAACTAGTAAGATCTTGTGAACTGGGAAAATTTTAAATGTGTGTGTATTAAATGTGCATGTAGTAGATTTACCTGAATTAGAAACAGAAATATAAATATATACTTCAGTCATAAATGTGTATATAGATCCTAGCAGAATTAACTGGCAGTGCTGCACATTATATTAGATATTTGGTTAATCTTTTCTTTCTCCAGATCCCCTTCCTAGCTTCCTATTGCTTCCTGTTTGCAGAGTATCTGAAGTCAAAATGTGAACTCATCAGGAATGGAAATGTACTCATCTTGGGACTCAGGGTAGTCTGTATTTTACAAGGGAGTTGCACATTTTGTGGGGATAGAAAGAAACGTTTTTCTTTCTTCACCCTTGTCAGTTCTTAGGTAAATGAAATCTCTAGCTCCAGGGCACCTTTAGAAGAAACTTTAAATAAGCCTCAAATGAGGTGGATTTATGGACAAGTTTCAGGTGTGAATTATATAAGGCTGACGATAAATCTAATTTATCACAAGCATTTGCAGTTTTACCATGTAGTTATTACTATTTTATTTTCCGAGTGCAAAACTTATTTTCCATTGCCCACGGGAATCCATTTCTGTTGCTACTCGAACACATGCAAGTAAGCAGACTGATCTGCCCGGAACGCTTCGCACTAAACAAAATTGGATAATCAAATATGACTGCAGTGTATTTTTATAGTGTATTGTTGAAAGTGGAAGCTATAAACTA